TCCTGAGCTCGAGTCCAGCATCGGGCTGCGGTCTTTCTGAGCGGATACTGTCAGGCATTCGTGTTATAAACACACTTAAACATTTACACTTTGTACAACTTGGATACATCGACCTGCACTTTTCACTATTAACTATACAAGAACTCCTCAGGTTCCTGCTCTACACAGACGATCATAACTGTCACGAGCACTCAGTCTTAGTCGTGTTACAAATGTTTGCTGTTAAACGACAGCAGAGAACAAACGTGGCTGAAGTTTGAACAAAGAGTCAGAAACAGGTTTAATACGTTTATTGAGTAAAAAACAGGAAATAACGTCGCACTGAGACCATGCTTCGTTTGTTTTTTGGAAAACACGTCATGATGCTGCTATGGTGACGACCTCTGACCTTCCAGTGCCCTGCTCTACACAGGAAAGATGAATGGAGCCGTCGCTGCAACATAAAGAAGAAACATGTGTTTGCAACAACATCACCATCATCACGTGACGCTTGATGTGACCCAGGAGGGAAATACCTTTTCATGGTCACCACAGTGTCGACGCTGTGACTCTCGTCTGTGGGCTGAAGGTCTCTAAAAACAATCTGTGACACAGACACAAACATAAGCAGGAACAGTGATTCTAATGATGATGATGATTTTCTCTGGCTCATCCATCCTGCATCACAGGGGCAGCAGCCTAAGCAGAGAAACCCAGAATCTGCCCCGAGCCCCCTCCTCCAAGCCGGCCGAGACCTAATCTCACCGCAGTGTCCTGGGTCTGCGCCGCAGGGTCCCGGGTCTGCACCGCACGTCCTGGTCTGCACCACAGGTCCAGGACACGTCACCTGTCACTGGTCATAATGTCATCGTCCAGGCCTTCTAGACCCAAACTACCACAACTGGCTTCTTCTGATGGGGAAGTAGCAGCTCCTCTCTGAGCTCCTCTCCAGTCCTTCACCCCGTCTGCAGGTCAGCCGCCCTCCACGCAGATTCCATGTGTTGTTCTTTCGGTCCCAAAGCTCGTCACCACGGTGAGGGTGGGAACAAACACCTGTCATAACATGTTGGTCCCCTTTTTCTGCCAACACACTCAGGACCGTTGAAGCGTGGACTCCACTCGAGGGCACCGAGTCCTGTTGTGATGTGGAGCCTTCATGGATCCAGAGTTTCTCCATCTGTTGCTTTAACGGATGATCTGAGGAACTTAGAGCCTAAAACTCAGGAACACCTCAGAGGAAACATTTCCCTGAAAGGGTGCATGTGGTCTGAGGGAGTGCTGAGGTACTGTGTGCCAAAGTAGCATCCACATGGACCCAAGATTTCCCAGGAGAACGTTGGCCAAATCATGATCTCTTCTTCCCATAGTGCATCTGGTCTTGTCCAGGTAAGTGACAACACGAGGAATCTGTTCTAGGAGACACTTCAGCATCAGTGAGGAGGACGAGGCCACGGAGAGGACGAAGTCTCTGCTTAGACTTTAACCTCAGAAGCTGCTGCAGGACGTCCAGCTCAGCAACAAGGTGCAGATGCTTCACATCAGCTCAACAAGCTTTCACCTTAATGTCCTCTGTTGTGTTTGTGCGCAAACAAACGTCACCTGACTTTTGGCCAAGCTGCTAAAATGCAAACACATCCCAACATTCCCAGCTTTGTTTCTAAAGCCGTTCGTAAACTGTGACCAGCAGCAGACAGGAAGCAGACGTCTGATGCTTGCTTACCTTGGACAGCTTCTCCGGCTGCTCTGTGATGAATCGCTGGTAAATCTCCAAACACAGGGAGGACAGTTTCCCGTCCCCCCTGAGGATGTGGTGTCTGTGGGCAGGGAGGGGTGTGCCCACAGGAAGGAGAAGCGTGAACATCTCAGCTCCAGACTCGTCCGTCTCCTCCAACACAAGTCAGACAGAAGCGTTAGAAATCGATTACAGTATTAATGAATGATATAATGTACAAATATATAAGTAGTGCACAAAGACTCTGCAGAGCTGAGACGTTTACGTTCATGTGCAACATCAGGTGAACGTTTATCTGAGGTCTGCGTACTTTTACTAGCACGTCAATGGAGGACACATCCACCGTGACAGAGTCCTCCTCTGGGGTGAGGCCGTCTCTGCCAACCAGCAGCCCCGCCTCCAGGGCCGCGCCCACAGCGATGACCTCGTCAGGAGGTGCCGAGTTGAGAAGCTCCACATCCGGAAACATTTCCCGGATCATCTGCTGCAGACGAGGAATTCTGGCCGAGCCGCCGCAAAGAACGACCTGCAACACAGACATGGCAGCGATCGAGGAGCGGCTTCTATTTAACACACAGCTACGCCATCACT